CCGTGCGGGATCCACGGACCAGTGTGAGGTGGGGCTGGCAGTCTCTCGTCCTTCCTATCCCTTTAGGCCCCATGTGGCCAGGTTCAAGCAGGCCCTTGGCTGGCTGGGAGCTGTTTATTTTGGGTTAACAGGCCCAGCACTCTGGCTATATTTACCTTGTGAAGTTGCTTGCAATCTGATCTGATCTGATCTCTCTGGGACTGAGCTGGGGCCCTGGGAGTCGCCTGCCAGATTCTACGAGGCCCCCTTGACTTTACTCTTGCTATCTGTGGGGAGATTTCCCAAGCGGGAAGCGTTCTGGAAAAAACAGTGGCTTGTATTCCTGTGAATGGTTTTCATCAGGATCCAAGACGCGTGCGATCCGTTCCTTCTCAGTCCACATTATTCTTTCCGCAGCCCCATGGCACTGAACTCTGCCCCTAGTGTGGGAACAGTACATACAGCCAGCCTGCATGGCCAAAGCCCCAGGAATTGTAGGGGCTGGTGAGGGTAATGGGGTTTCTTCCAGAGCTTGGGAGCAGGGCTTTTCCTCTTCCTCAAAGTGCCCAGCGTTTCAGGCTTTGCTGCCAGCCTCTCCCCAGCTCAAGACCTCTGGGAGAGCTGGCCAGTTCTGGTGTCCCCAGGTCAGGTCCGTTCCAGCAGCTGTGATTTCTGGTCCTGGATCCTGTGAGTATGACAAATGGTGTGGAAAGCGTGGTCTCTGTCCTGCTGAGGTAGCCATCTGGCACCATGTGGTTTGGGGCAGACTTTCCCCTTATGCCCCAGGTTTGGAACTTGGGCAGATGAGGCCCAGAGTGGGGATCTGACCCTCTCACCCACCCCAGGGGGTAGAACCTTGGCTCATGGGATCAGTTCTTTCATGGGATCAGCTGAGGGTGTCCAGGGGCTATTTCTTTCTCTCTCTCTCTCTCTCTCTCTCTCTCTCTCTCTCTCTCTCTTTGTTAAAGTTTATTTAAGCAATCTCAACACCCAACATGAGGCTCGAACTCATGACCCCAAGATCAAGAGCCGCATACTCTACCCACGGAGCCAACCAGGCACCCCTGGGCTATTTCTCTTCTGCTTCAAGCCCCATGTTTTTCTTTTTAACTAAAATTTATTGTGCACCTTCTGTAACCTGGCCCTGTGGTAAATGCTTACATGTCAAGACCTTATTTAGTCTCCTCAGCAACTGTCTTAGTCCATCTGGGCCGCTGTACCAGAATAACAAACTGGGTGGCTTATAAACAACAGACATTTATTTCCTCACAGTTCTGGAGACTGGACATCCCAGATCAAGGTGTCAGCAGATTCAGAATCTGTGGAGGGGCTGGCTTCCTGATTCAAAGCTGCTGTCTACTCACTCTGCCCTCCCATGGCTGGAGTGGCAAGGGGCTCTCTGGGCTCTCTCACTCTTTTTGTTCTTTTTCTTTTAGAGAGTGTGATCGGGGGAGAACGACAGAGAGAGAGAGAGGGAATCCTAAGCAGGTTCCATGCATAAACACATACACCCCCCCCTTTTTTTTAATTTATATATTTATTTTGAGAGAGAGAGCACAAGCAGGGGAGGGGCAGAGAGAGAGGGAGAGAGAATCCCAGGCAGGCTCCGCAGGGCTCCATCTCAGCAACAGTGAGATCATGACCTGACCCGAATCAAGAGTGGATGCTTAACCCACTGAGCCACCCAGGTGCCCCTGGGCTCTCTTTTGTAGGGACACTAACCTGTTGCGAGGGCTCCACCCTCCTGACCTAATCATCTCCCAAAGGCCCCACCTCCTACTACTATTACACTGGGGATTAGGGTTTCAAGGTGAGAATTTAGAGGGAACAGAAGCATTCAGTCTGTAGGGGCACCCAGATGAGAAAGAGCTTCTATTATCCACTTTGCACATGGGCTTTAAAGCCACATGGATCTGAGTTCAGAGCTCCCACTTAGAAGCAGTCTGACCTCGCCTCTCTGAGCCCATTTTTCCTCATTTGTAAAAGAATAATGATGTTGCTCATAATCGTTGATACTTTGTTAAGCTTACTGTATGCCAGCTCCTGTTCCAAGGGCTTTATATTCATTAGCTCATTAAATGGTCATAACAACCATAAGAAGTGGGCCCCTGTTTTATTGATGTGACACAGAGAGGTTGAAATACTTATCCAAGGTCACCAGCTTTGTAAGTGGAGAAGCCAATTCATCCTTAATGGCTACATAGAAGGGGAGACACCAGGTAAGGGAACAGATTAGTTACCTGTATATGTCCCCCTGGAATATACCCCAGCATTCAGTTCAGCCTGATGTACCTCATGGGTCTGGATATTTCCAGTGAGTGAATAAATAGCCAGTGGACCTGAGGCAGCCAAGCAGCCAGCGGGCTCTCCTGCTTGTCCCTTCTCCAGTTTCAGGTTCCGGGGCAACAGGCCAAAAACAGGAAGAGGAAGTGCTGGGGGTGGGGAGGTGGTGGCAGAAGGCATGCATTGCTGGAGGGTGTCCCCCTCCATTTCCAGCGTGGGCAGGCTTGGTGGCTGAGAACAGGGGTCCCTGGGATGTGTCCCTTAACTGTGTCCCTTAACTCACTGGGCCCTGATGGCCTGCCCTCACCCATGTGTACTAAGAATTCTCAGGATTGGCATTAGGCCACCAGTGATCTTAAAAAACAGTTGAAATCCTGATGGCACTGCCCCAGATTTATATGAGTTTGAAACATTTTGTAAACTCCTGGGCTGAACAGTTCATACAGTCATCAACTGGGGCAAGTCTGGGGCAAGTCTGTGAATCTCGTTGAAATTGTCTGAAAAGCCCTGTGAATATATATGCCTGGATGTTCGAAGGAGGATATCCATTATTTTCATCAGATTCTCAAGGTGTCAGACCCCAAATTAGCTTTAGCCTGTGACCTTAATCTCGCCATGTTCCCTCCTTTTACAGACAAGAGGGGAAGGTTTTGACCAAGGTCAAATAAGGAAGGTGGTTCTGGAGCCAGACTCAGGCCCCTCACTTTGGCCTTGGTGTTCTTTCAGCCCAGGTATACCCTTCCAGTGGAGAGTAGAAACCCCAGACAATTCCATATAGAGATAGTGGGTTTGGGGATGAAAGTTTCTAAACTGAAAAAATGATAATAAAGCTCACTTTTATTGAGTGTTTACTTTCTGCCAGGCACTAAGTATTTTACATGGGATTAACTCGGTCCTCACAACAATGCTCTGAGTCATGTACTATTATTCCCATTTTACAGATAAGGAAACTGAGGCCCAGAAAGTTGAAGGAGCTTGCTAGAATCACAGCTGAATAAAGGGCAGAGGAGTCAGAGTTCAAAGCCAGGCAGCCTGGCTCTAGAGCCCGTGATCCTGACCAATGCCCCACACTGCCTTTCCTGGTCAAAGGAAGGGTAGAGAGAGAGATGAGAAATGAAAGCAAGCAGGGCCAGGCAAACAGGCAGGAGAGCTAGTGGGGAAAGAAAGAGCCCGACCCCCCGCCTCCGGGGTAAGGAGGGGTCAGGGTCACCTGGTATGGGGCTAGTGGATACATTTCAGCATTGGACCTCCCCTCTCTGAGCCTGGTACCCACATAGCAAACATTTTATGAAAGGCCACTCACTATCCTTAATGGTATTGCCATTGGCGTTTGCTGCCCCAGTCCCTCCAGCCTGGCAGGCAGATCCTGGCAGTGTGCCCACTGCTCGCTGTTCCTGGTCCAGATCTGATGAGCTGGCATCTTCACATGGGGGTGATTTGCAAGGCCCAAGTGAGAAGCAGCAGGTGGCAGGCCCAGAACGTGCCCCTGGTGACCCTGGGTCCACAGGTCTCCAGGAACTGGGGAGCAGCTAGTGCGTCAGCCGTGGGGCCCAGAGCTGGGGCGAGGGCAGGAGATGGCCCCAGGGCTTGCCAATCACACTGCAACAGAGCCTGGCTCAGTCTCTTTGAGGAAGCTTCACGTTCCTCGTTGGTTGGTGCACTGTGTCCTTAGAAAGGGCTGGGCCTGGCCTGGGAGGGCCTTCATCTCTCTACCCCACCCCTCTCCTTCTCCCTGGAGCGGGGAGTAAAGGAGAGGCCTGTGCTTGGGAACATATGTTAGGCCAACAGAGAGGGCCGCTGGTGGTTTGGTGGTTGTGCTTTTTTTTTTTTTTTAATGCAAACTGTATCATAGTAAAATATACATCAAACATACCATCTTTTTTTTTTAAGTTTGTTTATTTTTTGAGAAGCAGAGCATGAGCGGGGGAGGGGCAGAGAGCTCTGGAATCACAGAATCCAAAGCGCTCTGCGCTGACAGCAGAGAGCCAGATGCAGGGCTCGAACTCACAAACCACGAGATCATGACCTGAGCCAAAGTCAGACGCTTAACTGAGCCACCCAGGCAGGCGCCCCTCAAACTTACCATTTTAACCGTTTGTGGTTTGGCTTTTAATACCTGGCTGGTTGGTAGGAGCAATGGATACTATTTGGGAGATGTTTACCATGTACCAGGGACTCTGATTTCATTTTTTTTTTTTAATTTTTTTTTAATGTTTATTTATTTTTGAGAGAGAGAGCATGAGCAGGGGAGGAGCAGAGAGAGAGGGAGACACAAAATCTGAAACAGGCTCCAGGCTTTGAGCTGTCAGCGCAGAGCCCGACGCGGGGCTTGAACTCACAAACCGTGAGATCATGACCTGAGCCAAAGCCGGATGCTTTGTTCATTGCTGACTTCATTGTTAAAATAATCCTGTGAACTACTGTGATATCTCTGTTTCACAAATAAAGAAGTTGAGGCTCAGTGGCTTTCCCAAGGACATGTGGCCCGCGAATAGCAGAACTGAGATTCACATCCAGGCAGCCTGGGCTCCAAACCTGCTATCTTCACTAGTACTTTCTCAACCCTAAGTGAGGGGGTGCTCTTACCCCCGTTATATAGATCAGGAAACCGAGGCTTGGAGAGGCCAGGTTGATTTGCCCAGGGTCCGAGAGCTTGATGGGAGGGGAGCCAGGATTTGAGTGTGGTTCTGTGGGCCATGACAATCCTGGCACTCAGCCTGCCTCTCCCCTGCCCCTAGGTGGCGATGGTGGAGGTACAGCTAGATGCCGACCATGACTACCCTCCCGGGCTGCTCATCGCCTTTAGTGCATGCACCACGGTGCTGGTGGCCGTGCACCTGTTTGCACTTATGATCAGCACCTGCATCCTGCCCAACATCGAGGCGGTGAGCAACGTGCATAACCTCAACTCGGTCAAGGAGTCACCCCATGAGCGCATGCACCGCCACATCGAGCTGGCCTGGGCCTTTTCCACGGTCATCGGCACGCTGCTCTTCCTGGCTGAAGTGGTGCTGCTCTGCTGGGTCAAGTTCTTGCCTCTCAAGAAGCAGCCTGGGCAGCTGCGGCCCACCAGCAAGCCCCCGGCCAGCGATGCAGTCGCCAACGTCAGCAGCACTGGTGGCATCACTCCGGGCCAAGCCGCCGCCATCGCCTCCACCACCATCATGGTCCCTTTTGGCCTGGTCTTCATCGTCTTTGCCGTCCACTTCTACCGCTCATTGGTCAGCCATAAGACGGACCGACAGTTCCAGGAGCTCAACGAGCTGGCCGAGTTTGCCCGCTTGCAGGACCAGCTGGACCACAGAGGGGATCACCCCCTGACGCCCGGCAGCCACTATGCATAAGCCCTTCTGGGCCTGGGCACTTGAGATCTTTGGCCTTATGCCGCTCCCCACGACCTCGTCCTGCCCCAGCCTTAAGGACAGCCAGCTCCAAGGATTGGGCTTTTTTCAGGGGGGCAGAGAGTGGAGGGAAGAGGCTTCTTCTTTATTTTATTTTTTTTTTTTAAGAGAAATGACTGCACTTTGAAACTTTCCTCTAAGAGAATAAGCACTTCCTGTTCTTCCAGCTTTGGGTTTACCTCCTGTTAGGAGGCCGCCGGTGGGAGCCACAGTGGGGCAAATGCTCCCTTTGTCCCTCCTCCTCCCCTGTGCCAGTGCCACTTGGATGCTTCTTGTTTTTTGTTTTTTCTGTCTTGATCCCCCTCCCCATTCAGTGTCGTGTGTGTGTGTGTGTGTGTGTGTGTGTGTGTGTGTGTGTCTGTATACACATAAATATACTCATAAGGGACACCTCTTGTGTCTGTCTTTGTTGGGTCTGGACTGCCTGGTATGAATTCTGGCACCCCAGTCAGGTGAGCCTCTAAGTGAGAAATTTTGTTAACATTTTATTTTGAAAATTTAAAAACCTACAAAAAAGTTGCAAGAATAGCAACTGAAATACATATACAGTCAATTCTTGTCATTCATAGCAGTTGTGTTCTACAAAGTCATCATGAACACTGAATTAGTATTGAACCATTGCTCCTGTGGTTCCTATGAGGCTCTGGTCACAATATTTTGTCAGCCGTTCAATAGGTTAACCTTGTTTTATGTGTTTCTGGGTTGTTTGTTTGTTTAAAGATTTTTATTTTTAAACAATCTCTACACCCAACATGGGGCTCGAATTCGCAACCCCGAGATCAAGAATTGCGTGCTTCACTGATGGAGCCAGCCAGGCACCCTACTGCCTTCTTTTTAAATAGCAAAATCACCGGGGCACCTGGCTGCCTCCATTGGTGGAGCGTGCAGCTCTTGATCTTGGGATTGTGAGTTCAAGCCCCACATTGGCACAAAGCCTACTTAAAATAAAAGTTAAAAAATTCTTAACAGTTTATTAGTAGCAAAATCGCCAACGAAAAGCACCGAATGTGAACAACGTGGCACTAAATAGACGACATGAAAAGAACACTCGTTTAGGAAAGCTGAAACAAGAAGACAGAACAGTGCCGTTTGACCTCAGCAAGGAGGCAGGTGCCCAGATGCTGAAACTGAATGATGGGGGTGAACTGTGTGTTTCTCCCCTGAGCCATGTGCATTGGTTGCAGATACCACCCTTCATGCTTAGATACTTCCTTCTAAAACCAAGGACATTTCTCCTACATAACCTCAATTCAGTGATCAAATTCAGGAAATTTGATATTGACGCAGTACTGTTTAATAACGACATGTATGTTGACTTCTCCACGTGTCCTCATCACGTCCTTTCTAGCAGTGATTTTACCTGGGTGTTGCATTGAGCTGTCACGTCTCTTTAGTTGCTTTTAAATTTGGAACAGCCTTTTCTTGTCCTTTATGACATCGACATTTTTGGAGTCTGGGCCTGTGGTTTTGTAGAATGCCGCCTCAGCCTGGCTTCCCCGACGTTTTCCCGTTATTACAATCAGGATGTTTTGGCAGGAATGTTTATCTCCATTTTGCAGATGACAAAAGTTGATGCCCAAAGAGGTTAAGTGTAATTGGCTAGAATTCGAACCTAGAAAGTCTGGCTCAGAGCCCAGCCTCTCACAAAAATCATATATGTGGATTCTGGCTTTGCTTAAGAACTTGGTAGATCCAGCAGCAGCAGGAGGACTGGTCCCACCTTCTTGCAGAGCATCAGTGAGAAGGAACTGAGTTGCAGCCGCCTTCTTCCCCAGGAGATGTGTTTGCCACAGACCCCACCTCTCCTTCTTGTCTCACACCAGGCCAGCCTTGTTTATGTTACTTGCCTGGCTCTCCACCATGGGCCTTTGAGTTTGAGACCTCTGTGGGTCCCAGAAACACAATACAATATGGGATTTTATAAAAACAAAGTCCTCTGAGTGAAGTCAAAGTTCGTTGGGGCAAAGCGTGGCTTCAGGTTCTTGTCCTTCTGTGCAAACAGATGTGATAAGAGCAGTTTTGTGGGCTGAGTGGGGCAGGGGCACTCCTTTTTCCTATTGCAGCTTCTTGCCTCTCTCCTGCATCTCACGCACCAGGACCTACTCTCCCCTGTCCTTGGACAGCCTTCTGACTGGGACTGAGTAGTGGGGAGCAGGGCCCCCTGTGTAAAGCTCTCCGTTGCTCCCCAGAGAAGACCTGGCCATCTTCCATGCAGTCTCGTCACCTGGCCACCTCTTTGCTTCTGCAAAGACTTGGGAGCTGGCTGCACTAACTTCTGGGCTACGACTCCAGTCTTAGGTCTTCCCTTCCCTCCTCGCCTTTCCCCTCCCCTCTTTGTTTTCTTTCTTTCTTTCAGTATTATGTTTAGGTAATCTCCACACCCAATGTGGGGCTGAAACCCACAACCCCGAGGTCAAGACTCACACGCTCCAGCGACTGAGCCAGCCAGGCGCCCCTTAGGTTTATTTTCTTTCCTAAGTCAAAAAAATCACCAGATTGGCTTGTAAAATGTAGCTTTCCAAGCTTTTCCCCTAGAGGTTCCAATTCAAGTTGGTCTGTGTAGATCTAGAATCTGTATTTTTAACAAGCACCCCAGGTGCTCCAGGCAACTCAGGAAAACACTGGTAGTTAAAGAACAGTCTTTAATTTCAGTTTTATTTATATTTTGGATACATAATACATTCACAAGTTCCAAATACAACAGTGAAAAGTTGCCCTTCCTCCCTGGTTCCCAGTTCTCTCCAGAGACATCCATTGTGGCCAGTGTATTTATTGTGTTCCTATCTAGAGAGATTTTTATACATAAACTAGAACACACCCTACTTTTTCTGGTGGAAAAAAAAAAAAAAAAAGCTGGCCTTATATATGCTCTGCCACTGTTCTGTGCCTTCAGAGCAGACAGATCTAAGTTTAAGTACAGTTCCTTTCTAGCTTTGTGACTGGTGAACATCCCTGAACCTGTTTCCTCCTCTGAGAAGGTACTAATAATAGCAGGACACCTCATAGGTTGTTGAGGGGTCATGGGAGGAGACACATATCAGCACAGGGCCTGGCACCGAGTGAATGTTCTGTGTCCCAAGTGGGCCAGGCTCAGCTTCCTGGTGTGAGAACCATACCGAGGGTCAGGCCACCCTGCTTATGATTTAGAGGGCAGAAAGAACATCAATAGTGTCCCTGCTTATTGAATCTTTATATCTGGCACTTGCTGAGGGCTTTATGAACACGGGGTTACAGGGTTATACTTCGGACATTGGGCTGGAAAACTATTGTAGAATGTTTTTTTTAATGTTTATTTTTGAAAGAGTGTAAGCAGGGGAGGGGTAGAGAGCGAGGGAGACACAGAATCTGAAGCAGGCTCCAGGCTCTGAGCTGTCAGCACAGAGCTCGATGTGGGGCTCGAACCCACAAACCCTGAGATCATGACCTGAGCTGAAGTCGGGAGCCCCTAGAGTATATTATAGTGTGTTTAGCAGGATCCTCAACCTCTAGCCACTAGTTGCCAGTAATATCTTTCCCTGCCAGTTGTGACAACCAAAAATGCCTCCAGACATTGCTAAGTGTCCCCCAGCAGGGAAGGGAGACAACAGCACCCTCAGATTAGAACCACACCTTATTTCATCCTCATGTTAACCACGGTAACCTGGGTGGTAAGGACTGTTATTGTCCGGGTCTGAGGGGAGGGAACCTAGAGAACAGAGAGGTTGGGTGCCATGTCCAAGAACACACCGCTCATAAATCACTGTTGGGATTCACACCCAGGCAGTCTGACTGCTGAGCTCATGTTCCTACCCATTATGTAAGGGTCCCTTATATCTTGCAGAATGTTGTCTAGAATTCTGCAAAGCTCTCCCTGGATCTCAGCTTCACAATTAACCTCAATACAACTTATTTGTTATTATTACATCTGTTAGCAAATCCTCAAAAACACCCCTGTGAGATCTCCTAAGTGCCATTTTACAAATGGGGCAGCTGAGGTCACTTAGGGTCACAAAACCAGTAAGTCAGGGGTTCATGGCCCCGGCTGCACGTTAGAGTCATCTGGGGAACTTTCTGAAGGCCAGGCCTCACCCCAGACAGACCAGAGTCTGAATGTGAGACCTGGGTGTCTGTAGCTTTTAAAGCTCCTGCAGGATCCTAAGGTTGAGTGTTCCTGTGTTAGGTTGAGAAGCCAGGTTCGGTCTCAACCCCAAATCTTAGTGGCCAATGTGACCAGACACCGGCTCTTCTCCCTGGAGTATCTCAAAGGTCAGAGACCTAGAGACACTTCTTTCTCCCCCTGGGTAAATCCATGCAGCCCGTGGGGACGTCTGTCTTCCTCACCTAAAGTCCTTCCCAGAACTCCACCCTCTCCACCCCACCCACAATCACACACTGCAAGCCCTGGGCTGAAGCCACCAGGTTCTTGTATACTCCCGTGCTCAGGAATGGGGGTCCAGAATGAAAGTTGTAACAAGAGGATCCCCAAAGCCAGCTGGGGAGAGGATGATCCAGTGCTGGGAGGAGTGAGGTGTCCTCTGAGGGTGCCAAGGGTGTGCCCGAGTCACCACTCACTTCTGCAGAAGCCGCACCGGTTTGAGCAGTTGGGCGACGGGCTTGAATTTCTCCAGAAGCTCTGGTGTGTTCTCTGCAGGGGCAAGGGGCTGGTGGCAGCTGGCGACCCAAAGATGCTGTACCATCACCCTCTCCTGGAACCCCACTTAACACCCACACGAGGAGGGGCTAGGACAGATGCACAAGTGCAGGCCTGGGGCAAACTACCTTACTCAAGGGCTTTCGGGAGGGACCTGGTCTTTGAGGAAATGAGTTTTGAAGGGGAGGAACCAAAAAGAACCAGCTGGATTGCAGGAGGAAAGAAACCCACCCTCTGGTCCTGCCCCTGAGCCCCTTGGCCAAAGGAGACCCCAGGAGCTTTCTCAACCACATCCGAGGGGGGAAAGTATGCCCATCCCTCACCTGGCATCAATCTTCATCTTCCTCTGTCTTCTTGAACATGGCCAAGGCTTCCTCCAGCACACCATTAGGGTCTAGAATTTCGATCTGGAGGGAAACAGTAAGGGGTTGGATTGGGGAGCATGGAAGGCCCAGGCCGCCATCCTGTGGGGTGCTGCCCACCTTGTGGGGTGCTGCCGACTCTGGAAGTGCTATCTGCCTTGGGCGCTGCCAGTCTCCGTGGGGATGCCCCGACTGAAAACAAAATCTGGTCTGTTCCCTGGCTGGGCTGGGCTGGGCTAGGCCTGGCCAGGCTGGATGTGCCTGGGTGTGTGTGGGCGGTTGGGGGGGAGGTACTGTTTTCTGATTCTCTGGGTGTGGCCACAGGGCCCTGGTGGGTGCTGCCCACCTTAGGAATGGGGAACTGGGTGGGCTCAGGGGCCTCATCGCGGCCAAAGTCAATCATTGTGCCACACTTGGCCACGTCGTCCACCCAGAAGCCTTCAAACAGCTGACCGTGGTCCAGGTGGAAGAAACGGCCCGACCCATTCTTCATGCCCCTCTGCCAGTAGCCCTCGTAGCGGTTCCTGTTCTCTGGGGGAAAGGACAGGGTCACTTGGGTGCTGGACACACCTGACCAGGCCCCTCTACCACGTTGGCCCCTCCCCATGCCACTGTGCCCACAGGGAAGCCAGAAGGAGACCAAGATGTTGAGAGTGCCCTGGGCTGGGCTGCCTGGAGTCTGGGAGGCCCGAACTATAAACGTCAGAGCCTAGGGGTGTCAAGGGCTTCCGGAATCAGAGCCGGTCCAAGTCTTGCCTCCACTACTTGCCTGAATTTGGATGAGCAACATCATTTCCTATTTATACAAAATGTAGCTACTGACATGAAGAGGCAATGTTTTTCCAGCACTCATTCTGCGCATGGTTCTTTGCTATGTTTCTGACCTCACGCGCTCCTCACAAAAACAGTTCTATGAAGGATAACGGACTCCATTTTTACAGATGGAGCTTGAAAGCTCAGGGAGTTTGACTGACGTGCTCAAGGTCACAGAGCTAGGAAGTGTCAGAGACAAGATTTGAAGCCAAGGGCTGTTCATCCCAGGAGACCATGCTCTTAATCATGAATTAACTCTCCTGCTCAACGGATGGTGGTGCTGCTGCAAAAGGAGTAATAATAAAGCTAGCACTTCTCCGCTGAGACGCTCGCAGCCATGTGGTCTCGGGCAAATCACTCGACCATTCTGTCTCATTTCCTCATTTGTAAAATGGGAATAACAGTAACACCTACCTCACAGAATTGCGGTGGAGATTCAATAAGTCAAAACACAGAAAGGGCTTAGAAGGATACTGGATAAACTCTAGGTCAGAGGTCAGCAGACTTTTTCTGTGAAGGGGCAGACGGTATTTTCTGCTTTGTGTGTCACACGTTCTCTGTCACAGCCACTCAACTCTGCCATCGAATCATGAAAGCAGCGTGGACAATGTGTAAATGTATGAGCAAGTCAGTGTGCCAATAAAACTTTACTTACCAAAACGTACGTGGAGCTGGATTTGGATTTGGTTCAAGGATTGTAATTTGCTGACACCTGCTACCTCCAAGTATGAGCTCTAATATTGTTGAACACTTACTATTACGTGTCAGGCACCATGCTAAGCACTCCACAAACCTCAGTGAACCTTCACAATACCCTGCTTAAGTTTTATTTTTATCCTTACTTTACAGATGAGAAAACCAATTTCTGGGCCACTAGAAATGATGCACTTAGAACCCTTACACTATGTGTGGCCGCAGCAGGTGCTCACTAAATGCAGGCTATCAGATGCTCACTGAAAGCAGGCACAGTACTGGGTGCCTGGGGGATTGAGGACGACAGACAGAAGTGACTGGATTAAACCCTCCTCAGTGGCCCCAATGCCTCAGTTTGGCCAAATCTCACTGGAAGTTGGAATCGTGAGTTTTCAGGAGACTGAGCTCTGGTCTGTGTCCTCACTAAGAGCACTTACTATGTGCCAGGCATTGGGGAAACAGTGGGGAACAAAATAAATACGCAGTCCAGGTCCTTATCCAGCTCACAGTCTGGAGAGACAATGGCACTAGCTTTATAGATAGCCTACTATGTGCCAGACGTGTTCGTAGCACCTACAAAGTGGGTACTACTATCACTCCCATTTTACAGGTGAGGTAACTGAGGCACCAACAGAAAGAAACTTGCCCAAGGTTATACACCTAGTGCTAAAAAGGAAAGGAAGCAAGCAGGTGCTGAGGAGAATGTGCTTTAGTGGAGTGAAAAGGGAAGGCCTCTCTGAGGAGGAGACAGTGCAAAGACCTGGAGGATCTTCTTTCTATTGCGGGGAAGAGAGAACTGCAGTGCAAGGGCCCTGAGGCAGAAAGCGTGGGAGGAACTGGAAGAACATGAGTCTGGCTGAAATGAAGGGATTCCCAGAGGAAGACGTGGGAAGCACAATTAGGTGAGGAGGGCCAGATGGTGCTGCCCATGGATGGTTGAAAGCAGGGCAGCCACCAGGTCCAATCTGTAAAAAATTCATGCTGGTTGCTATGTAGGGAATGGGTTAAGTCCTGACGCTAAGGCAGTTTACTTGACTGATTACTCTTTCCTCTGTTCTTTCCCAGCTCAATGCCTATCAGGTTCCTTCTCTTCCTTCAAGTCTTCTGTTCAAATGTCACCTCTTGAGGGAGACATTCCCTGACCATAAGTCAATCTAAATCGCTCCTGTCCACAACTCCTTTGTCATCCAACACACCTTTCTATTTTCAAGGGATATTCCTTAGCACTTTGGATCTAACGACTAACAGACTGCATTGACCTTGAGCAAGTCACTTAACCTCTCTGTACCTCAGTTCATCTGTAAAATCGGGCTAAGGGTATCTATCTTATAGGACCATAGCGAGGATTAAGTGAGCTCAGTGCTGTGTAAGCATAGACTATGATTATTAGGACCATAAGAAAATGTCTTTTTTTTTTTTTAAGTTTTTTTTTTTTTTCAACGTTTATTTATTTTTGGGACAGAGAGAGACAGAGCATGAACGGGCGAGGGGCAGAGAGAGAGGGAGACACAGAATCGGAAACAGGCTCCAGGCTCTGAGCCATCAGCCCAGAGCCTGACGCGGGGCTCGAACTCACGGACCGCGAGATCGTGACCTGGCTGAAGTCGGACGCTTAACCGACTGCGCCACCCAGGCGCCCCGAAAATGTCTTAATTGTTGATGTTTATTGTTAGGCTCCCCCTTTCGAATATAAGCTCCCAGGAGGGCATCTGGGTGGCTCAGTCGGTTGAGAGTCAGATTCTTGATTTTAGCTCTGGTCATGATCTCACCATTGGTGAAATTGAGGCTGGGTCAGGCTCTGTGCTGTCAGCTTGGAGACCATTTGTGATTCTCTCTCTCCCTCTCTCTCTGCCCCTCCCCCACCCTGTCTCAAAATAAATAAATAAACTTAAAAAAAGAAAAAAGGAATATAAATTCTTTGAGGGCAGGGATCTGGTCCCGTCGTTCACCTTAGCTGGAGCTGGAGAAAGGGTTGTGGGTGGGGCGTGGCCAGCAGGCTATTGGGGCGGGGCACTTACTCAGGCGCAACATGCCCTCCCCATTCGGCTTGTCCTTCAACCACTGGCCCTCGTAGATGTCGCCGTTACTGTAGTACATGCGGCCCCACCCGCTGCGCTGGTCGCCACACCACTCACCCTCGTAATACTCCTTGGGTCCGAAAAACTGAATCCCATAGCCCTGAAAGCACAAAGGTGTCCCTGTTCATGGCGTCCCCAACACCAGGAAAGTCACCCCCATCTTCCCTGGCACCCAAGCCACACCCTGGCTACTTCCCTGTTTCCTCCCTCAGCCCTACATCCCAAGCTCATGGTCGTAAACTGAAAAAGCTCCCCGGGTTGTCCCATTGCCCTCCACCCCTGTGCTGTCACCTTCATCACCTTCATGCAGCCCAGTATCTCGTCTCTGCTCCTCACGGGTCCCCTTCCTCCAACTCTCCCATTCTCCCCTCCTCATGCATCCCCCAGTAAGCAGCTAGACGGATCTTTACATCGCACATCTGATCATGTTTGCCCCCTCTCCTCAGCTTTGATTTGACCCTATTAAAAGTCACAGATGCTTCTGAGAGAATCCGATCAGTTATGGACTTTCTCCCCAGAAAAATGAACACAACTACAGAGAATCATGGACTCCCCGCAGATCACACCTAAGGAAGTTGGGTTAAGCAGCCCGTCTACCCCTCAAAATCCTGATTCTCCACATAGCCTTCAAGGCCCCCGCCTACCCCTCCCCCCTCACTCCTACCTGTGGGCACACACACCTTGCTGTTTGACACATTCTTTGCTCCTTCCACTTTGCTACTTCCTCTTCTCCTTTTTTCCCTCCGTTTAAGTCTTTGTACCTTTTGGCATCACCTCCTGCAGGAAGCCTGCCCTGAATTCTCAATTCCTGTGGGCTCCCTGTGAAAACCTCTATCCTAACGCCATATTAAATGTGAATTGTTTATTTTGGGATCTCTCTCCCTACTGGTCAGTAAACAGTTTCAGAGCAGAGATCATGAAATCCTGAGCTCTACCACTTGCCAGCAGTGTGTGACCCCAGGTAAGGCACTTCACCTCTCTGAGCTTGTTTCCTTATGAATAAAATGAGTGATGACGATGATGACGATATTGTGAGTTAGCTGAAGCATCATATGCTGTGACTCTGGCATCGCAATAGCAGTTGTTCAATAGCAGCACTGTGTTATTATCTGTCTCTATGGCGTATGGTGAGGGGTCAGGCACTTATGGGTTGAAGATATGCCTCTGGCTGGCTTCTACCTCCAGGACCTTCCTTTCTTGTTCTGTGGCCAAGGGTGTGGCCTTTGCTTTCTTGCTCCCACTTTTCCTACCCCCTTCTTGTTCAGGCCCAACAGAAGGGGGATTCTTAGAAAGGAATGCCCAGGGAAAAGAAAGCCAGGAAATGAGTGGGGGAGATGGGGGAGGAGACTTGGCCCCCACACAGCCTGGCTGGCTTTTTGTAGCCACAGGGTTTCATGGGCTCCTCCCTGGGCCCTCTCCTCTTGCTTCCTGTTTCCTGGGTTTTGTTCTGAGAACCCTTGATGATTCCCCACCCCTTCCTTCTCCCACGCACACAGTGCCCTTGTCCTCCTTCCCTCAACCCTTCCCCCCTTTTTTCCCAGGCCTCTCTGACTGCTCCCCCTACACACACACACACACACACACACACACACACACACAGCCTGCTTTCAGCCCGGCCCACACCCCAGAGCATGATGGGAACCACTCACCGATTTTTTATCATCTTTCCACCAGCCAGAGTATACTTTCCTATACTTTCCCTTCTCTTGGTCAGGATTGCTGAGGGTGCCATAGCCATCTCGCTTCCCAAACTTCCAGTCTCCCTCATAGATGGCTCCTTTTTTCTTCCAGATCTGTGTTCCTTTTCCTGATGACACAGAGACGGGCCAAGATTGCAGACACGGCAGCCATGGGGCTGGAGGGGCAGATGCTGTGTCTGCCTTGGCCTCAGGGGCTGCCTTGGTGTTCTCAAGGGCTGGGCCAGGGTCTGTGCCCCTAGACACCCACCAGTAGGGAAAACACCAAGAAAGTTCCATTTCTACAAATAGCAGTTCTCCAGTCCTTTGCTCTGAAACCAGATTCCTCTAACAAATCCCAAGTAGAAATCTGCCACTTCTTTTTCTCTTAATAATAAGCTTTGTCTCTTTTTTCTATTTTAATATTTTTAATGTTGATTTATTTTTGAGAGAGACAGAGACAGAGTGTGAGCGGGGGAGGGGCAGAGAGAGAGAGGGAGACACAGAATCCAAAGCAGGCTCCAGGCTTCGGAGCTGTCAGCACAGAGCCCGACTCGGGGCTCGAACTCATGAACCATGAAATCATGACCTGAGCCGAAGTCAGACACTTAAGCGACTGAGCCACCCAGGTGCCCCTAGCTTTATCTCTTCATAATACTGAATGATTATGCCAGATGGCCAGAATTTCTAGAAAATATTCTGCATATTTCTTCAGTTCTCCAGAACACACATGGGGACCCTCTCCTACCACTCCTGCTTCGTCTGTGTCTTCCACTCCCGCCTTCCAGACTGCTCTCCAACCACTATGGCCTCCCTGCTGTTCCTGGATCCCGCCAGATATGCTTCTGCCTCAGGGCCTTTATGCCTGCTTATCCTTTGGCCTAGAACGCTCTTCTCCAAATATTCACTCACTCCCTACCTCCTGCAAGTCTCTGTTCAAATCTTTCTCAGCGAGGCTTACCCTGACCAACCCCTGTAAAATCACAAGCCTATCTTCCTCTCTTACCCTGCTCTGTTTCTTTCCATATCCCTTATCAACTCCTAACCTAACAGACAATTCACTCACTTATCATTTATTGTCTATTGTCTAGCTCTCCATGAGGAGAATGTGCACTCTCTGAGGACACAGACTTTGGTCCGTTCTGCTCACTGCTCTATTCCCAGCACCGAGGAACAGTGCCTGGCAAGTTGCAGGAGACAAATACATGCTGAACAAAGACATCTGTTGAACAAAAGGACCAATAAAATATTTGTGGAGTACCTATATGGGCCAATTCATGTCTTGGTCCTTGGTAGCTCAGGAACAAATCCAACATTGTCCCTGTGAGCTTTCTGATCTTGCACAAATAACTTAATGTTATTAAGTGCCTCAATGTTATTAAGCTCCTCATCAGTAAAAGGGAGATGAGAGAATCTCATGGGGTTGTTCTATCACTAAATTCATTACCGTATGGAAAGCACTTAGAACAGTGCCTGCAAATAGGAAAGATGTTAGCAATTATTTTTGCCCTTGAGGTAGAGCTCTCACTGGGTTGTCTATACCTGTCCTCCTTCTAATTTTATTCCTTTTGGGGAACCAGCACCTCCCAAACTCTCAATCCCTAAGGTTTGTATGGATCAGACTGGATCAGACTCCTCCCCCTGGCAAGGCTAGCCAATCAGCCCAGGCCACTGTGATTGGCTCAATGAAGGGCATGTGATTCAAGTTGGTCTAATGAGACTGTTTGCCTCTGGGATGACGGCAAATTTACCACCTCCTCAAAGGTCCTTTTTTTTTTTTTTTTTTTTTTAGTTTAGTTTATTTACTTATTTTGAGCGAGAGAGAGTGCAGGAGTGGCAGAGAGAGAGGGAGAGAGAGAGAATTCCAAGCAGGCTCTGTACTGGCAGTGTGGAGCCCTAGGCGGGGTTCAAACCCACAAACCATGAGAGATCATGACCCTAGCGGAAACCAAGAGCAGATGCTCAATGAACTGAGCCCCCCATGCGCCCCAATAAGGTCCTTTGTGGTTGGAACCCTTGCCCTGCCTGCTCTTTCTCCTGACTCTCTCTGCTCTGGGCACATGGGCTTCCAGTCAGTTCCAAAAACAAGACTGAACAAGACTTAATACAGCCCAAAGCCTTCCATTCTGATTCCACCATCTAGAAGATATGCTCTTCTACCAAGTGAATCCTTATCCTTTTGCACTCAGCTCAAACATCACCTCTCTGTGTTCTCATGGCTGCCTCTGTGTCTCCTCTCTGGCGCTCTTCACATCCTGATGCCACACTTTTATTTTTATTTTTTTGATGCAAAATAACCTTGTTTTATTATGTACAGACTATATATAAACAAATCACCCACTCTGAAAACAGTAGGTTCTGGTTTTTCCCAGGGCCCTCAGAAGCGTCTGGGAGACAGTTCCTTCCCCAGAGAGGAGTGTGTGTGTGTGTGTGTGTGTGTGTGTGTGTGTGTGTGTGTGTGAGAGAGAGAGAGAGAGAGAGAGAGAGAGAGAGAGAGAGAGAGATCTAGCCACATGCTTCTCCTTGCCTAAAATCTTACACTTTGGCTCCAGCTTCTCTGGTCCAGGAGGAGGTCTCAGCCTGGGGCAGGCATAAGCCAATCACTCAACTTCTTTTTTTTTTTAAGTTATTTATTTATTTTGAGAGAGAGAGAGAGCATGAGCAGGGCAGGGGCAAAGAGAGAAGGAGAGGGAGAATCCCAAGCAGGCTCTGTGCTGTCAGCACGGAGTCCAATGAGGAGCTTGAACTCACAAACCATGAGATCATGACCTGAACTGAAATCAAGAATCAGATGGTTAACCAACTGAGCCACCCAGGCGCCCCTCAATCACTCAACTTCTATCTTATTCTTCTGCAAAGAATCAAGGAAGGATTGCCACTCTGCTGGGTAAAAATGCTTATAGACATTGGTCTTATTCTGAATCTGTTTTGGGATATCTTGACAGTAATCCTCCTCATCTTAGGCCATAGCTTTATAGTCATCCCCATGGTTCTCCACCATGTAGCATACATAGTCACTGAGTTTTCGAGACAGCATGTTTCCTTTTTTTTTCTGGGAGGCTGGCTTCTGCCTCCAGGTCATTTAGCACATAGGTATGTGACCCTCAGTAAATAATTTCTTCTCTCCGAGTCCCAATTTCCTCTTCTCTAAAATGGGATATTACTTACTGTGTGGCTTCTCTGTGAGACTGGAGCTCCCTGGGGGCTGGCATTAAGCAGATGCCCAGTACAGGGCCTGGCATGGACTAGGAGTGCAATGGGTGTTAGCAGAGTGAACGAATGAACAGGCTGGGGAAGCACTAGCCACTCCAATCCTTGCCCTGAATGATGATGACTTTTGACTGCTTCCAGGCTGCTTACACCACAGCAATCCCCTGTCAGCGTGGTCAAAGGCACGTCTTGAAGAGAGGGGAGGCTGGGTCTGGATTCTCTGACAGGTCCATTTTCTGGAGCCCCAGCCCAATCAGCTCTATGCCTCCAGGGTCCTAGGGGAGGCAGGACTCACACAGAAGAAGGGCTCAGAGGGCCTTGTCAACCCATGAGTTCATATCACAGGTGGGACAGCTGAGATCCAGAGAATGGGAGATGGCTTACCCGAAATCACACAGCTGTTCAGTGGTAGAGCCAGGGTCAGAACTTCGGGATCCTGATTCCTAGTTTAGGGCCTTGTCCACCTCACCTGCTGCCCACAGGGACTAAAGCACACAAACAGGCATCTTTAACTGCACACAAAGCCCAGAGTAGCTGCATAAAGTCTGGCCTTTAAGTCAGTGCTGAGTGGTGGTGTTGTGTCGCACATTGGGTGGGGTGAGCTTTGGAGTGCTTCCGGACAAGGAAAGTTCTCAGGAGTGGTGATCCCTGCCACGCTCAGCCCTCAAAGAACACTCAAGAAGTTCCCCTTCTGTACAGACCCTGGGCTACACACTTGATAGACATCATCTTTTATCTTTACTGATAAGTATTTTCCCACTTTACAGATTGGAACACTGAGGCTCAGAGTGGGGTAATTAGTTCCTCAAGGCCAGAGTTGGTGAAGCTGAGATTCTGACCCAGCTTTATGGACTCCAAAGTGCTTAGCTCAGGAAGGCAGGACAGAAAAGTGGTTAAGAACATAGCATCTGGATTTCAAGTCCTGAGTGAGAAGCCATAACATCTGTTTAGAATAAAAATTTGTTTTTGGGGGGGTGCCTGGCTGGCTCTGTCAGAAGAGCATGTGACTCTTGACCTTGAGGCCATGAGTTTGAACTTCATGTTGGGTGTAGAGATTACAAGAGTTTGAACTCATGACCCCAAGATCAAGAGTCACATGCTTGGGGCACCTGGGTGGCTCAGTCGGTTAAGTGTCCAACTCTTGGTTTCAGCTCAGGTCATGATCTCATGGTTCATGAGTTCAAGCCCCGCATCAGGCTTCACACTGACAGTATGGAGCCTGCTTGGGATTCTCTCCCTCTCTCTCTGCCCCTCCCCTGCTCACTCTATCTCTCTCTCAAAATAAATAAATAAACTTAAAAAAAAAAAAAAAAAGAGTCACATGCTCTACCAACTGAACCATCTAGGTGCCCCTAAATAAATAAAACTTAAAAACACTTGATTTTCTTCAGGGCTGATTTTGTACCACAAGGACCCCCATGCTGTTTGCTGGTTAAAGCTACAGTTAAATTTGAAGCCCCAGCTAGTTGTGTGTGTATGTGCTTGTGTGTGTGTGTCCTCTCTCACTCATTACTGGTCAGACCCCCACATCAGAGCTCTTTGAATCACCACTGCAAGTGGTTTGGGGGGCTCCTTTTCCTCCTGCTAACCAGGCCCAACTTAGCCCAGGTCTCAGAGGGTAAGGACTATGCTGGAGTCCCTAGAACCCAGGCCGTGGTTATGGTTGGTATCTCAAGACCACTTTGTCCCGCGCTGGTCCCTGGTCATCTAAAGTCAGGGTTGAGTTTGGCTCCAGAGCCCCAAGCTGTGGAGGCCCCCAGCTGGTCCAGGTCAGCAGCATTTACCCCCTGGGGGAGCCTTGGTGACATGTCTTATGATATCTTACGTCCCTGACAAGCTCTGCCAGCTACTTCCTTGGCCCCCATCACCCACCATGGCCCAGACTCCATACTCCCAAGCCCCTGAAGATCCCCCACTCACCATGTTTCATGTTGTCCTTCCATTGGCCCACATAGCAGTCACCATTGACAGCATTCACCTGGTGCCTCAGTCCATTCTTTTGGGCCTTCTGGTCCCACTCCTTCCACAGGGGCTCCGACTTTTGCAGGCACTTAGAGTTAGGCATGTTGGCTGCTTCTGCGGGACCAGAGGTGCTGGCAAAGAGTTAGGGACATCAGGGGCTCAGTGTGTCCCTAGTAATGCCAGGATCCCAGGGCTTCATGAGGAGGCACTTGTCTGAGCCCAAATGGTGTGAGTCATGTGTGTTTGGAGTCCCCGGGCAGATGAGCAGCCATTTGGGGGGGATCCTTCTGCACTAGACTGGCCTGTGTCTGTCATCTCCTTTGCATCTCTAGGGCCTCCCTGAGGTGGGTCTGATGGCACAATTGCTTGGGAACCCAGGGAAACCAGTAGAGCAGGGGGGTTTGTGATGACAAAGCTGTCCCCCACCGATGGTTGAAAGTCACATATTTAATAACCAATATGACCAGTCAGAGTGGATGCTGGTCCTAAGTCTAGAGCCTGGCCTGGAGCCCCCAGTGGTGAGCAGTGGGATTCACTCAGGGAGAGTTGTGGGGAGAAGAGCTAGCCAGGCCACTCTGGGCTGGCAGACAGATGCCGTAGCAGAGCCCACAGGGACACCTTCTCTGCACCCAGCACCCAATACTGTAGTTCTTTTGGCCCTGCCTTATCTGTTAGCGGGTACTGGAAAGGCTCAGGGCCTGGCTTTTGAAGTGGTCAGGAAAGCCCACCAACTAAGGATACTACATCTCGGGTGACCAACTGTCCGGGTTTGCCTAGGATTGCGGGGTTTCCTAGGAATTTGGATTTCAGTGCCAAAACTGAGCTGATCCCAGGCACACCAGGATGGATGGTCATCCTTTTATCTATGACCTCTGCCCTCTGCCCGGATATTCTACTTGTCTGCCTTATTACCTGCTTAGGTTTTCCCATCAGACCAGGGCTCTCCTTCCTGCCACGCCTGATGGGGTTGCAGGGAATCTCTGGGTGGTCTAAGGTCTCTCTGTAGTCTGGGACCCCACCACCTGTGCTCTTCATGTCCTCAAGATCTCCAGTGAGGACATTCATGTCTATCTGTGCGTCTCGGCGCAGCTTGTGCAAGGTGATAAAGATGGTCTCCTCCCAATCAGGGGATCTGTTTCCCCTCAGCAAATACCATCTATCCTGCTCCATGGGTTTGGGCAATACTCACACGTGCCAGTGGAGCTGGCAGAAGGGGCTAGAGTGAAATATTTAACCAATATCCTGATAGGTACTGACCAATTAGAATGACCTCTGGGCTGAGCAGGTTTCAGGAGGTCATGGTATCTCAAGCATCCAACCACCCACAGCCAGCAACCTGTGGGTATGCAACCTGTGCAGTCGAACAGGGCCCACCCTTAGAAGGGCCTGTGCTTGGTTTATTCCTTTGATGTCACTGTTTTTTAATTCTATTAAAAAAAAATTTTTAATGTGTATTTATTATTGAGATACAGAGAGACAGAGTGTGAGCAGGGGAGAGGTAGAGAGAGGGGGAGACACAGAATCCAAAGCAGGCTCCAGGCTCCGAGCTGTCAGCACAGAGCCCGTCGCGGGGCTTGAACTCACAAACTGTGAGATCATGACCTGAGCCGAAGTCGGTCACCCAACCGACTGAGCCACCCAGGTGCCCCACTGTTTTTTAATTCTTAATATTTTGTGGGTGAGGGCCCCCTTTTCCATTTTGCACTGGGCCCACACATCAAGAAGTTCCTTCTGTTGGGCTACAGCAGGGTCTCCAGGAGTCTGACCAGGCTGACTAAGCACACAGGCTGGCATTTATTTTGACAATCGTGCCTAGGAACAGGGTAAGTCCCTCCTGGTAAAGAAAAGAGCAAGGGCAAAAGCTGGGAGGGAGTAAACAGTCTCAGGCCTTAAATTTAATGTGTTTTTCCCCCTCCCATTTCCTAGTACCACCTGTATGATGATGGATTTTTACATGTAAATTAATTCACTTTTAAAAATCAATGTATTTATCATGTGAAGAAAGAGACTTCACATGTCATTACTATAAATGGAAAAGGAGCGTCAGATACCCTAAGGGGAAGGTACTGTAAAAATTGAAATACTATAAAGAAACCAACTTAAGTCTTAGCTAGATATTGTGGCTTACTGAAGTTGAGTTTAGCAAATGTTCAGAAAGTTGGTAGTGTCATATTACCCCCAAACTGACACTTTCTCCTTGGCTTACTCAGAAGTGTAAGAGAACCTAGAACCTAATAACTTTTTTACGATGTCACTGGGTGTTACTTAATGCCTCATCAGTGTAGTATAAAATCATCCTCTGTCCCACACTTTCCCGGGAACACAGGTTCAACTCAAGAGGAGGTTGCGGTCTTAATATGTGAGCCACTGACAGGGGAAGGAAGCCTTATGAGGCGGTGCGCGGACTCTGCCCCGTAGGTTGTATACTAAATCGCAATAAACTACAACGGAAGGTGGAGGGGCGGCGCCCAGATGGCTGAGGGTCCGTCCCGAGCACCCACCCCACTCACCTGCGCCAGCTCACCTGCGAGGCGGAACCTGGATCCTCAGCCCGGGGGCGAGAGCGGTGGGGTCTCAGCCTCCAGCTTCAGTCGCCGAGTGCAGCTCGCGCCTAGGCGTCCCTGGCCCGGCTGGGGTCTCTATGGCAACGCGGGGCCCTAGCAAAGCCACCGGCAGTGCCCGCCCCTTCCTGCGGAGACTGCGCTCGCTGAGCAGCCGGAAGGGTGTAGATACGCAGGCGTGGGGAAGGATGTTTTAGGGCCTGTGGAGGTCGAGGGCCGCTGGTACATAGGCCTGATGGCCAAAGGCTGGTGGGCGAGCCCGAAGACCCCACAGCCGATAACCGCGGAGCGTGGGCCCCAGTGTGTCCCGGGAGGCTACTGCCCTTGCCATGCGGCGCCCCTCTCCCATCTGGGGTCCTCTGGGCAAATACAAAACCCTAAGCAGACAGAAAAAGGTTAAAGCCTTTTGTGCCACGTTTCGAAGACAAAGAGGCAAAATTTGAAGGGAAAACCAACATCACACCGGTTCTGAGTCTCATCAGGGGTCTACTAGACACCTTGAAGAATCTGAGGGAAGCTGGGGCGCCTGGGTGGCTCAGTCGGTTAAGCATCTGACTTCTGAATTCCGCTCAGGTCATGATCTCAGGGTTCCTGGGTTGGAGCCCCGCGTGGGCTCTGTGCTGACAGCTCAGAGCCTGGGGCCTGCTTCGGATTCTGTGTCTCCCCCTCTCTCTCTCTCTCTGCCCCTTCCCTGCTGGTGCTCTGTCTCTTAAAAAATAAACATTAAAAAAAAAAAAAAAGAATCTGATGGAAGCTGTACAGACCCTCCACCCCTTGAATATGCGTGTATTTTACATGGACACAAGTCAGCCCCAGTCACTTCTCCCTCCTCAGTTCACATCCTTGAAGTGGCTCCCTGGGCACTCAGTAAAAGCCACAGTCCCTCCAAAGTTCCCTGTCATCTGCACACCCACCTCCCCTTTCCTCTCTGAACCTGTCCCCTACTTCTGGCACCCAGTCAGTCTCACTCTGCTCCGGCCACACACGTGCTCCCTTGCTGTTCCTGGAAAATGCTGGGCATGTTCCTGCCTCAGGGGCTTTGCCTCTTCTGTGCCTTCTGCCAGGATATCTGTTCCTACAGATATCAGCCTAGATCATTCATCATTCCTTCCTCTCCTTCAGGTGTTTTTGTTTTTGTTTTTGACAGAGGTGGGAGGGCACATGCATAAGCAGGGAAGGGGCAGAGAAAGAGAGGAACTGAGGATCTGAAGAGAGCTCTGTGCTGACAACAGAAAGCCTGGTGGGGAGCTCAAACCCACCAACTGTGAGATCATGACCTGAGCCAAAGTCAGATGCTTAACCAACTGGGCCACCCAGGTGCCCCCCAAAATCTTGTTTGATGGCCTTTTCTCTGATCATCAGTAGACTCTCCTTCATTGCTTTGTTCTTCATTCCAATTGGAATGGAACTTTTTTGTTTGCTTGTTTGCTTTGGTTTTGGTTTTTTGGTTTATTTTGGAATGGGACTTTTGCTCTGATTTCCACACTCATTGCATCACTTATAGTTAATTTGTTGGGTGTGTGTCTTCCTCTCAGCAGAGGGTAACTGCTCTGTGTAAATTCTTGCCTCATCCAAGGTTCCCTTTGGTTATAAGTAGAGACACCATCTCGTACTACCTCATAAAGGAAATTTATTAATGATACAAGAGTGTTGGAAAGCTGTTAACAGCAAAGCCATCCTCTTCATCTCACTTGGTCTCTCCATCTCTCTGTGTCTCCTTCACTCAGCTTTCTCATGCTTGTGGTGGAAAAGAGCTGCCTTTTATATACCTTGGTTATATAACCACTCACAATGAATTGGCTCTTTTTGAATTCCAATCCCAAATTCATGAGTGGCCCAGGTAGGGTCTGGAGTCTGCCCCTGGCCAGTCATAATTACTAATGCTGTGGTTCTTCTCATGACATTCTTCTCTCCTCCTCAGATGCCTGGCCCACAGGTCCAGCAGGCTTTACCCTAGTACAAACTGTCCTTGGCTTGTGACTTTATCCAGAACCACCCTGCCACCCACTGAGTGGTGCCTCATGGTCTAGAATCTCCTCTCTCCCTCTCCCAAGGCCCGAGTCACAGTCCCACCACTGCAAGGAGCCCTTTGATGGCCTCTAATAAAGGTCCTGGCTCAGGGAAGCTAGAACTGTCCCCTGGAGAAGAATGTGGAGCAGGTTAAGGTTTACCTGCATCCACAGGCCAGCTGGACAGGCAGGTTACAAATCTATGACATCATTCTTCCTATGGGGTCAGAATCTGGTAGCATTATTCTCAAACTCCTAAGTAGGCTCTACGGACTGGCCACTTCCCAATACTGAAGTGCCAAGAGGGCTCCGTTCCCAAGACCCTTCTGATAATTACTTGCCAGACTTGAGTGGCTAGAATTTAGCTGGGCTCCTCCCAAGGATCTTTTGTAAAGCCTGGGGTGAAGAGAGCTCTCCTGTGTGGTCTGGAGTCAGAGGGGCTCCTCTATGCACCCACAGATAAACATCCCCTTGAGGAGACATGCTCCTACTTATGCTTTCCTGAGCACAAAGCTTTGGCTGAAAGCCTGGAGACTCTGTCCTCTCCAGAAATCCTTGCAGATTTCACCCAATTGTTGCTGAGTTGTCAATCCTAGGGGGTCCATTCACACTGAAATCCACTCCTGAGAGGACCATCTGCATAAAATGAGAAGGAACCTTCTGATGCTGAGTAACCTGGGTCTCAGGCTTCTCAGAAGTGGCAGGAAGGACCCACCTGTGAGGACCAGCAAAACTCTCTGGTGTACATAATAGACAAAAGATGGAGAGAACTCAAATGTCTATTAAAAGATGAATGGATGGGGTGCCTGGATGGCTCAGTCGGTTGAGCGTCCAACTCTTGATTTTGGCTCACATCATGATCTCATGGTTTATGAGTTTGAGAGCTGCATTAATACAGGGCCTTTTTGGGATTCTCTCTCCTTCTCTCTGTTCCTCCCCTGCTTGTGTTCTCTCTCTCAAAATAGATAAACTTAAAAAAAATTTTTTTTAAATATGAATGGATAAACAAAATGTCATCTGTCCATCTAATGGAATATTATTCGGCCATAAAAAGGAATGAAACACGGATACATGCTGAAGCATGGATGAACCTCGAAAACATTTTGCTAAGTGAAAGAAGCCAGACACAAAAGGTCATGTGAATGGAAATGTCAGAATAAGCAAATCTACAGAGACAGAAAGTAAATTAGTGGTTACTTAGAAGGGAAGATGAGAAGTTAGGAAGGTGATAGTTAAGGGCTTGAGCTTTCTTTCAGGGGTAATGAAAATATTCTAAAACTGACTGGGATGATGGCTGCACAACTCTGTGAACATACTGAAAACCATTGAATGGTACTCTTTAAATGGGTGAGTTGTAGGATTCCTGAATTCTCTCCATAGTTTTTTCACAAAGTCTCTGATGCAGGATGAGCGCCCTCTAGGGGTTTTCAGATGACCAGAGTGAGTCACAGGCCACTTTTCAGTTTAAATTCTGTTAAATTAAAAATCAGAGAGAGAGGGGCGCCTGGGTGGCGCAGTCGGTTGAGCATCCGACTTCAGCCAGGTCACGATCTCGCGGTCCGTGAGTTCGAGCCCCGCGTCGGGCTCTGGGCTGATGGCTCAGAGCCTGGAGCCTGTTTCCGATTCTGTGTCTCCCTCTCTCTCTGACCCTCCCCCGTTCATGCTCTGTCTCTCTCTGTCCCAAAAATAAATAAAAACGTTGAAAAAAAAATTTTTTTTTAAGAATCAGAGAGAGAAATGCCTACAGAGGGTAATACAAAGTGCAGCACATGGTGTTTAACTTTTTGTTGAAGTGTAAAATATATATAGAAAAGTGGAAATATCATCAATGCATAGCTTGATAGATTTTTTAAACTGAACATAGCCTTCTTGTCAGACTGGCAGTCTCTGGAACTGTCTTCTGGGGAACAGTGCCTAAAGTCCAAATTTGAGTCCCTCCATAAACATGAGGCCACTTCTGAGGAGTGACTCTGTAGGGCCCCTCTTTCTCCTTCCTTTCTTCTCTCCTTTTTCCCTAATCTCTAGGGTTACTCTATCAACGAGGTGGCTATTTATATGGAAATTTAAGTTAAATAAAAATAACAATGCCTCAGTCCCACTAGTCATATTCCAAGTATTTAGTAGGCATGTGTGGCAACTGGCTACTCTATGGGACATTGAAGATACAGAACATTTCCTTTATCATAGAAAGTTCTACTGGAAAGTGCTGCTTTTGGGATGAGCTCATCTCTTGCCTCTAACCCTTCCTTGGAAAGTTTCATTTCTCTCTCTCTGCCAAATCCTTTTTTTTTTTTTTTCTTTTTAATCTATCAGCAAAATTCTCTGTCAGAACCTAACATAATGTCTGCAGGGGTAAGCCAGTGGAAATTACAGGGTTTGAAAACAGTTGTTCAGCAAACAAACACAGCTAATAAATCATCTCAAAGAAAAATGCACAGTCTCACCAGCAATTAAAGAAATGAAAGTTAAAATAATCCTGCCATACCATTACATACTGTCTAGACTAGGAAAAATGTGTAAAAATGATAGACTGTGATATTGGCAGCACTGTGGGGAAAGAGGCACCATTACATACTGCTAGCCATCCAGGCAATTAGGTAAATGCTCTTGAAAAACCATTTGGAATTATCTTACAGAAACTATAAAACTATTTTCTGATTCCACTTAATGACCATTATTTATGTAACAGGTAGCTGGTGTGAGGCATAGAACTTGTTACATTCTTTAAAAAAAGAAAGTACTTTTCACAACAATCCTCTAAGACAGGTAGGAATTCTTATCTTCACTTAAAAAAATCAACTTCAGGTTCACAAGTTAGATACCTATCCAGAGTTAAAAGACCAAGGAAGTGGCTGAGCCAGGATTCAATCTCAGACCTCTTGACCTAGGAAGGCCTGTCCAGAACATCACATTGCCTCTCATTTCGAAGAATTGCCTCCAAGGCAATAGTACAACTGGGACAAGGGAAGAAATTTACTCAAACATGTAAATACTAACTAATGTAATTATTGCAAAAGGAAAAACTGGAAAATGCATACAGGAGACAATGTAAGTTGGGCCCAGCACATACTAGACTCTCCATAAATGCTTAATTTTTTAAAAAAGCGATTGGGTGGGGCGCCTGGGTGGCTCAGTCGGTTAAGCGGCCGACTTCGGCTTAGGTCATGATCTCATGGTCCGTGAGTTCTAGCCCCACGTCAGGCTCTGTGCTGACAGCTCAGAGCCTGGAGCCTGTTTCAGATTCTGTGTCTCCCTCTCTCTAACCCTCCCCTGTTCATGCTGTGTCTCTCCCTGTCTCAAAAATAAATAAACGTTAGGGGCGCCTGGGTGGCGCAGTCGGTTAAGCGTCCGACTTCAGCCAGGTCACGATCTCGCGGTCCGTGAGTTCGAGCCCCGCGTCGGGCTCTGGGCTGATGGCTCAGAGCCTGGAGCCTGTTTCCGATTCTGTGTCTCCCTCTCTCTCTAGCCCCTCGCCCGTTCATGCTCTGTCTCTCTCTGTCCCAAAAATAAATAAACGTTGGAAAAAAATAAATAAATAAATAAACGTTAAAAAAAATTAAAAAATAAAATAAAATAAAATGTCTCAGTATGAAAGGTGCTAAGTTTAAAAAAATAAAAATATAAATAAATAAATAAATAAATAAATAAATAAATAAATAAAAGCAAGCGATTGGGTGAAAAAGTGCTCTGGCCCTGGGGTGCCTGGGTGGCTCAGTCGGTTGAGCGTCCGACTTCGGCTCAGGTCATGATCTCACAGTCTGTGAGTTCGAGTTCCGCGTCAGGCACTGTGCTGATGGCTCAGAGCCTGGAGCCTGCTTTCGATTCTGTGTCTCCCTCTCTCTCTGCTCCTTCCCTGCTCATGCTCTGTCTCTCTCTGTCTCAAAAATAAAAACATTAAGAAAAAAAAATTTTTTTTAAGTGCTCTGGCCCTTTAAAAAGTCAGAGGCGGGTTAAGACAGCAAAGGAGGAGGTGTACGAAGCTGACGTAAAAAGCTTCATGCCACATTTAAATGAGCATGCGTTAAAACTCTTCTTCCCTCGCCACGTTCCTTCACTCAAATGCGCGTGCGCTGCCTGAACCTGGGTGTGTGGGGCGGGGGGTGTCGGCTCCGCCCGCCTACTTAGGTGGGCGGAGACAGTCGCGTGAGTTCGGTGAGCCAGATTCTCCCGCGCTATTAACCAGCCCGCCCCCTTTTGCACATGCGTGTACATCAGTACTAGACCCGTGGGTTGTTGAGAGGCTGTGGTGTTGCGCCTGCGCTATAGACCTCCCTGCCGGAAGTGGGCGGACCGCGTTCCAAAGCCTAAAGGGCGGAGGGAGAAAGCGCGGCAAAGATCTGTGTTGCTGAATGGAACGCTGAATCCGGACACTGCCTCAGGTGCCCTGCTGCAGAACTACTGAGCCTAGAAATGTAAAGACCAGAATATGGTCAGAGAGAACTTACTTTTCGATTTTAAAAAGGTTTTACAAGATTATTGTGTTTACATGTGTGTTAAATGAAGATTTTAAGGAAAGGGAGGATTTCCCCTAAATTTCCTTCCCCCCCGGCCCCCCCCCCCCGAATTCTTACATTTCTAGAAGACTTAAGGAGTCAAAGAGATATTTGAATGCCTATATGCCCAGTTGGAGAACAAGTATTCTGGCCAAAAACAAAAAACCAGAGTATGTTCTCAACCACAGAAACGTTCGTCCCTAGTCAGGAAACCATTAGGAAGATACATTAAATAAGAGCCGGAAAAGAAAGAAATCTGCATCAAGGTAAGTGATTTTGTGTCGTTAAAATTGTAAACGTTTTGGGGCGCCTGGGTGGCGCAGTCGGTTAAGCGTCCGACTTCAGCCAGGTCACGATCTCGCGGTCCGTGAGTTCGAGCCCCGCGTCGGGCTCTGGGCTGATGGCTCAGAGCCTGGAGCCTGTTTCCGATTCTGTGTCTCCCTCTCTCTCTGCCCCTCCCCCGTTCATGCTCTGTCTCTCTCTGTCCCAAAAATAAATAAACGTTGAAAAAAAAATTTAAAAAAAAAATTGTAAATGTTTGAAGGTCTCTTGTGTCAGTTCATCAACTTTATTCCATAACCATTTGTGGAAAGCATATTATGTTTCATACGTGTGCACCTTACTGGATACTAGAGATTCAAAGATGGATATAACAATTCAACCTCTATCCTTGAAGAGTTCACACTGTGGGGCTCAGGGATAGGACTCCCCCTGGGCAAGGTCTTGAAAGTGGGTATGATAGTGCAAAGTGACTCTGAAGACTGTCTTGACCTCAAGATGGCAGATGGTGTCCTATGAACAAAGTGGGGTAGCCTGGGGGGAGAGGAGATTAGACGCCAGTGGTCAGGAACCTGTGTGTTTTCTTGAACTTCCTTTGATACAGGGGATGAGGCAGAAGGTGACTTTTGGACCACAGTGACCCGGTTAAACAGGGAGAAGCTGGAAAACTCTAAGAACGTCTCAAGCTGGTGAGCAGAGAAACCTCCATGCCAAGAGTTATAAATCCTAATCAAGGACCCAAAAACTGAAGGGAAAGGAAAAGTGATTCTTGGGTATTCTGATGAAGTTACTCAGACATTCTATGGAGCTGGGGAGAAAAGATTTTCCCTTTTGGATAACTACCATCTCCTTAAACTATCTCCTCCTTGAGAGATTGGATCTTAGAAGGGTCCTAAGTCAGGGCTCCTGGGTGGCTCAGTTGGTTAAGCATCTGGCTTCAGCTCATGGGTTCAAACCCTTTGTTGGGCTCTGTGCTGACAGCTCAGAGCCTGGAGCCTGCCTCAGATTGTCTCTGAATCTCCCTGCCCCTCCCCCGCGCACGCACGCTCTCTCTGTCTCTCTCTCTCTCTCAAAAATAAATAAAACATTAAAAAAAAAAAAAAAAAGAAGAAGAAGGGTCCTAACCCAAGAATGCACCTGCTGTAGAAATGAACTGCTTCATAAATGCCTTGCAAGGGACACAGAAAAATAGTGAAAAAGCAAACAAACCTTAAATTGACTCAAAATATACCCCATTAGTACCATTTTTCCCCTTAGAGGATTCACACAGGCCTCATGCTAAGAAGGGCTTTGTGTTTGGCTTAATGCTTTGCTGTCACCATTTTGAAATTCTTAATTTCTTTAAAAATTTTTAAATATTTTATTTATTTTGAGAGAGAGCATGAGTGAGCCTGGGAGGAGCAGAGAGAGAGAGAGAGAGGGAGAGAGAGAATCCGAAGCAGGCTTCTTGCTGTCAGCGCAAAGCCCGACATGGGACATGAACCCACGAACTGTGAGATCATGACCTGAGCTGAAGTTGGACACTCAACCAACTGAGCCATCTGGGTGCCCCAGAGACCAGACATTTCTGTTGTTAAAGGCCCCTAGTTTGTGAAACTGTGTTACAACAGCCCTAGGAAGTGAATAGTTTCCCATAGGTCCTTAAAAAACTACTTGATGAATAAATGGATTGATGAATAAAGTATAATTGTATTGTCTCTGGCTCTTTAAAAGATGACAAACCTATCAAGATAATAACTCCCCTTTTTTTCTTTTTTTTAAAGCAGTCTCCATGGCCATTGTGGGGCTTAAATTCATGATCCTGAGATCAAGAGTCTCGTGCTCTACTGACTGAGCCAGCCAGGCACCTCAGTATCCCTTTAACTCCAGTGAATGGTTGAAAAACTGGTCCTTTCCACAACCTACTTCATTTTCTCCCATTTTATAATCACTGCATTTGATACTGACTTTGTCCTGTGTCTCACACATGTCCTGGACCGTGATAATATGGGCGGGTAGAGTGCGTGGCTGTGGTTCCCTGCAGTAGACCCTATTGGTTGCTACTGAAATTTGATCCCCTTTCCTTCTTGATGGCAGATCTCCAAATGTATGAGCTTCCCTCTTGTTCAGGGAGGGTGACCCCCACCTCCCAGAGCCAGGGGGTAAATTATCATTGAGCAAGTCTTTTCTGTAAACATAGTAAATATTTTTTGGCTTTAAAGGTCAGATGTTTAAAGGCAACAATATATAACTATATTTCTAAAATGTTGAATGAAATTGAGATTGTGTTATAAATGATATGGACCTCATTCAAAACTCAAAACGTTAGGCTCTGCTGTAGTTCATTCAGGCTTCTGTGACAAAATACCATAGGCTGAGTGGCTTATAAACAACAGAATTTTATATCTCACAGTCTAGAGGCTGGAAGTCCAGCCTGGTCAGGTAAATGCCCTCTTCCAGATTACAGACTTGTTTCCTCACATGGTAGAAGGGGCTAGGGAGCTCTGTGGGATCTCTTTTATAAGGACACTAATCCCATTAGTGAGGCTCCACTCTCATGGCCTAATCACCTCCCAAAGGCCCTACTTCCTAATACCAGCACATTGGGCACTGGAGTTCCAACATGTGAATTTGGGGGGACACAAGCATTTAGGCCATAGCAGGCCCTAAATATAAATTATTAATAAGAAAATCTCATGGGGTGTCTGGGTGGCTCAGTTGATTATGCATCCGACTCAGTTTCAGCTCAGGTCATGATCTCATGGTTTCGTGGGTTTGAGCCCCGCTTCAGGCCTGCGCTGACAGTGTGGAACCTGCTTGGGATTCTCTTTCTCTCTCCCTCTCTCTGCCCTTCCCCTGTTCATGCTGTCTCTGTCTCTCTCAAAAATAAATAGACTTAAAAAAATTTAAAATACAAAAAGAAAATCTCCTGATCTTAGGTACCTTTCCAAGGAAGAGTTTGGTATTACAAATCTATTCCTGTATCCCAGATAGTTATGTTAGTTTTTGTGGTAAAACAAACAGCAACCTGTTTCTCAGTGGCATCCAGCAAAGAACATTTCTGTAGCTTATTCAGTTTTGCTGGTCCAGGCTGGCCTTCGTTAAGGCAGTTCTGCAGCAAGTGTCTCTCATTGTCCCTCTGGGATCAATGGGCAGCTCAGAAATACTTTAACTGCAATGGCAGGAGTGTGAGAGAGCAAGCCTATTCGTTCAAATGCTTTTTAAATCTTTGGTAACGGACGAAACAAGCTACATGACCAAATCTCAAATGAAGTATAGGAAGTACACTCTGCCTAGGGAGTGTGGAGTGAGTGCTCTGTTGATCTGGTTACAATGAGTCCTTTACAACAAAATTTTCTATACAAGCTACTTTGTCAGATTCGTAGCAATGGTGTGATGAAAAACAAAAACAAAAAGAAACCTGGGACAAGCCCCTGCACTGTAATTTACTGGATAATCTGGACAGCTTTCTTTCCTTTTTTTTTTTTTTTCTCATTGTTTTATTTATTTTCAAGAGAGAGAGAGAGATTGAGAGCATGCAAGCAAGCGAGGAAGGGGCAGAGAAAGAGGGAGATACAGAACCTGAAGCAGGCCCCAGGCTCCAAGCTGTCAGTGCAGACGACATGGGGCTCAAACTCAAGAACTGTGAGATCATGACCTGAGCTGAAGTCAGATGCTTAACCAACTGAGCCACCCAGGCGCCCCTGGACATCTTTCACTCTCTGAATCTCAGTTTCCTCATCCACAAAATACACAATAAAAACATTTACCTCTCAGGATTGTTATGATGATTAAATGAAAATGTTTGTGAAAGTGCATTGTAAACAGTTAACACCTGTCCACATCGAAGGTGTGTGGAAAATGTATTTTTTTATTTTTTTTAATTTTTTTCTTAATTTTTATTTTTGACAGAGAGAGAGAGAGACAGAGCATGAGCAGGGCGAGGAGGGGGGTGGTGGGCGACAGAGAGAGGAAGACACAGAATTGGAAGCAGGCTCCAGGCTCTGACCTGTCAGCACAGAGCCCAACGCGGGGCTTGAACTCACAGACCACAAGATCATGACCTGAGCCGAAGTCGGACGCTCAACCGACTGAGCCACCCAGGCGCCCCAAGTTTTATTTTTTTAAGTAATCTTACAACCCAAAGTGGGACTCGAACCGATGACCCTGAGATCAAGAATTGCATGGTCTTCTGACTGAGCCAGCCAGGCGCTGCTGGAAAATGTATACATGGTGATGTTTGCCCTGTTGTCAACCCAAGTAGAGAGCTGGGAGGTGCTGAGCAGTTGGTAAATTTTTTAAAGTGCTTTTTCTGTCAGGTGGCACTATCTCCCCATTTCAAATAGCCCAAAAGCAGCTTTCGTGAAAACCCACTTAGATTTTTTGTAAACCATCAACACACTTTTCAAAGGTACTGCAAAAAGGCAGAAGGTTTGAACTCTTAGGGAGTATGAACCACTTTGGAAGACACTTTGGTATGATCTGGTGAAATTGAAAGTATGAGTAACCTTGCCTTAGGCGAATATATTCTTTCCCTTTTTTTTAGTTAAAAAATGTATTGAAGTACAATTGACATACTGTGTTATATTACAGGTGTACAACATATCGAGTCAGTGCTGCTTTTTTTTTTTTTTTAGTGTTTATCCATTTTTGAGACAGAGAGAGACAGAGCATGAATGGGGGAGGGTCAGAGAGAGGGAGACACAGAATCCGAAACGGGCTCCAGGCTCTGAGCTGTCAGCACAGAGCCCGACGCGGGGCTCGAACTCACAGACCGCGAGATCATGACCTGAGCCGAAGTCGGCCGCTTAACTGACTGAGCCACCCAGGCGCCCCTTGAGTCAGTGCTTCTATTCATTAGTCAATGCTCACCGTGATAAATGTAGTTACCATTGGGGCGCCTCTCCCCCTCTTCCCTGGCTCACGCTCTCTCCTCCTCTCTCAAAAAAATAAAATAGGTAATAAATAAATTTTTAAAAATGTCCCGAATAGGCAAATCCATAGAAACAAAAAGTACATTAGTGATGGTCAGAGAATGGGGATGAGGGGGAAGAGACTGGCTGCTAAAGATGTGAGGTTTCTTTTTGGGGTGATGAAAATGTTCTGGAATTAGTACTGATGGCTGCACGAGTCTTTGAGTATACTAAAAACCACTGAATTGTGCATTGGTTTTTAAAAAAATGTGTATTTATTTTTGGGAGAGAGCGAGCATGAGTGGGGGAGGGTCAGAGAGAGAGGGGGAGACAGTGGGTCCAAAGCAATTTCTGTGCCGTGACCGCAGCAAGCCCGATGCGGGGCTTGAACCCAGAACCTTGAGATCATGACCTGAGCCAAAGTCAACTGACTGAACCACCCAGGCGCCCCCTGAATTGTGCACTTTAAAGAGTGAATTTTATGGTAAGTGACTCACATCTTAAAACTTGTTATAAATAATATATGTTTTTGCCTGCTGTGTGCCAAGCACTGTGCCTGGCGCTGGGATTGCAAAAATGAGCAAAGCTAGACAGAGCTCCTACTTACATGTAGTGTTTGTCATGTTAAATACTGCATCACACAAAAGATCTTGGAAGATCTTCAAAGGGAGGGCAGTCCTGATTCGTAACACAACACTTCTCAGTTTTTCTGCCTTGTAGCATTGTTGTTATGACGAAACAAGGCTTCAAATCTCCTTTCTCAATGAAAGGAAGTAAAGGTGATGCCTGCCCCCTACACCGTACCGTGAGGGTAACTAACAAGGGAAGAGAGCCCTTGAGTATAGAATGGAAAAGATGAAAGCATCACATTACAAAGATGTTTGATTTTTTTCTGCTTTTTATTTTATTTTGGGAAATTTCAAAAGAGAGAACAAAGGAAGGAGGGAAAGTTTTTACTTCTGAAATCTGCATATAGGAAAATGCAAAAAACATGTATAGCTTAACAAAGAATTATGAATAGTCAATAATATTGGAATAATGTTGTATAGGGACAGATGGTGACTAATTTTTTTTTTTTTTAGTAGGCTCCACGCCCAACATGGGGCTGGAACTCTCGTCCCTGAGATCAAGAGTCGCATGCTTTACTGACTGAGCCAGCCAGGTGCCCTTGTTTATTTGTTTGTTTGTTTACATTTTTTTTCAACATTTATTTATTTTTGGGACAGAGAGAGACAGAGCATGAACGGGGGAGGGGCAGAGAGAGAGGGAGACACAGAATCGGAAACAGGCTCCAGGCTCTGAGCCATCAGCCCAGAGCCCGACGCGGGGCTCGAACTCACGGACTGCGAGATCGTGACCTGGCTGAAGTCGGACGCTTAACTGACTGCGCCACCCAGGCGCCCCTGTTTGTTTGTTTAAAATAAATTTTAAAAATTAAAAAAATTTTTTTCAGGTAACTCCACATGCAAAGTGGGGCTCAAACTCACAAACCTGAGATTGAGTCACACACTCCCTTGACTGAGCCAGTTCCTGGTATTGTCCGTCTTTTTGACTTTAGCCATCCTAGTGGGTGTTAAATGGTATCTCATCATTTGACTTTTATTCATAATGACTGTAATAATGTTGAACTCAGTAGATATTTGTTAAATGCAGGGATAATCATGGAAATTTCCAGTTTAAGTAGCTGCATCAAATTTGTACACTGGTTTTTTAAATTAGTACTTGAATTGTTTTCTTATTACAAAAGTAGTACATGCTGAAATGACGATCGAAATAGTGGTTACCTTTGTGGGGAGGGAGGGAGAAAGTTATGTATGATCAGGGAAGAGGAGGGGCGCCTGGGTGGCGCAGTCGGTTAAGCATCTGACTTCAGCCAGGTCACCATCTCGCGGTCCGTGAGTTCGAGCCCCGCGTCGGGCTCTGGGCTGATGGCTCAGAGCCTGGAGCCTGCTTCCGATTCTGTGTCTCCCTCTCTCTCTGCCCCTCCCCCGTTCATGCTCTGTCTCTCTCTGTCCCAAAAATAAAATTAAAAACGTTGAAAAAAAAAAAAATGATCAGGGAAGAGGAACATGGGGTTATCCAGGTGATGGCAATCTTATTCTTGATGTCGGTCTTAGTTGCACAGATTATATTTATGATTATTATTTAAACTGTATACAAAAATATATATGCACTTTTCTGAATATATGTCACAATAAAAAATGTTCTCAGTGTTGAAAATTTGGAATCAAGTATTTTGTTTTATTAAAGATGAAGAGCACTGAAATATTTCTACCACGTAAGCTTTGGGAATGATAGTTTTTTAGGTGGGAGGAAAAGGAATATCTGTTAAATCTTGGTTAAACAAACTTTTTGCCTTTTGTTGGAAGAAACAAATTCTGAGAAGTCACCAGCAGGTGGTGCAATGAAACAAGAGTTACAGCCTAAAAAGCAAACCAAAACAAAAACATGAAAAGCAGCCAACACTCCACTTGGTCACTGGAAAACATTTTTTTTTTTTGCGAATTTCCTACTATCTACAATATTCCTCCAGTATCTGCCATCATACAAAAGAATCTGATACTTACGGTTTCACTGGGGAACTGTCAGACCTGATTCTTCAAATGCTGTGAACAAAGAGAAAAACATAGACACTGAGTGATTTCTATCTTTTGTTTCTACTGAGGGTCTTCAAAAGAATAGGATCGGCTGGGACTCATATAGGGCTTTTGTGTCTGCAAAAAATAATAGTAATAAATACATTCCTCAAATATTCTTAGGTGGCTTTTGGCTTTCGAGGTGAATTAGGAAGTGTTCAGTTTCTAAACCTTTATCAAGCACTTCTTTCCACTTATCTCTGGTTGATAACAGCCATTGGAGGTTGGGGAAAATTTCACTAGAAAATTAGTAATAGAAAGTATAAAGAGAAAAAACACATTTTAATCTGGAGACTAAGCCAAAAAAGGGATCACCTTGGTCATCATACCTTTCATCAGGATACATTTTTTAGGGCGCCTGGGTGGTTCAGTCGGTTAAGTGGCTGACTTCGGCTCAGGTCATGATCTTGCAGTTTGTGAGTTCAAGCCCTGCATCGGGCTCTGTGCTGACAGCTCAGAGCCTGGAGCCTGCCTCAGATTCTGTGTCTTCCTCTCTCTCTGTCCCTCCCCCTGCTCACACTCTGTCTCTCTCAAAAATAAGTAAACATTAAAATTAAAAAAAATTTTTTTTAATGCTTATTTATTTTTGAGACAGAGAGAGACAGAGCATGAGCAGGGGAGGGGCAGAGAGAGGGAGACACAGAATCCCGGGCAGGCCCCAGGCTCTGGGCTGTCAGCACAGCCCAACGTGGGGCTTGAACTCACAAACTGCGAGATCATGACCTGAGCTGAAGTTGGACACTTAACTGACTGAGCCACCCAGGTGCCCTGAGGAGAATGTTCTCGATTATGGGAAATGCTCACTAACGTATTCAGGAGTGATAGGGCAAAGCAAAGCAGCAAAGCAGATCAGCAATCTAAAATGGGCCCGGAAAAAAAGTTCTTTGTACTGTACTTGCAGCTTTTCTTTAAGTTTGAGATTGTTGAATAAGTTAAAACATTTTTATATAGAAGTATAATCAACTCACAGAAAGGGAGAAAATATTTGCAATTGTGTATATAAGGGACTTGTATCCAGAATATA